AAACTCTGTACACCTCAATGATAGGTTGGCAATGGCCTCAGCTATCTGTGGCTGCCTGCCTGGCCAGCGATTGCCTTGCCTAACAAATGACCATACAAATGGAATTTACAACCTTTCTACTTCAGTGCTCCGCTGTTTTCTGAACAAATACTATAGACTATCAAACTAAAATCAAACGATATTTGAAGTATCACCATGGCTCACTGGTATTCATGAATTATAACACACACCGCAGAACTTTCCTATTATTAACCTGTACAAAAGACATCATTGTAAAGGTAAAGGGCTGTGTTTGGAAAAAAGGACGAAACATGACATAATAAAAGGCAATAGGAAAAAAAGAAAACTGGTGCAAAGTCTTGCTGCCTTTATCTTTTTATTACAAATGCTACATACAACATATCCTTTCAAAAGGCCAGGGACAGATCGGGGTCAGCACAGCAGGACACCTGCCCAATTAATAGAGGACACCTTGGCAGGTGGACCCAGGTTTCCATGACGACCTTGTCTCCTACACCGACATTGCTTTGCTGGTTTTATTGATGTAAAGAGAATGGAGCCTCTTTAATCCAGGTTTCAGTATTATCAAAGAGAGCTCAAATTATAGTGTATGCAAGTCTGATGAGTATAATCTGTCCTTGGAAACATAGCTGTAGGTTAAAAGACCATAACCTTGCTTTGCGTCTCTGGATCATGTGCTTGAATTGCATTAGGGGACATGTTCTGCATGGAGTTTGTATATTCTCTCTTAGTCTGCTTGGATTTCTTCCAGGTACTCTAGTTTCCTACTGTAATTCAAAACACATAATTAGCCTTATTCCATAATGAGTTCCCATTCTTACATGGCAATTCTTCTTGCAGTAGCCCACAGCACCCAATCAGAAATCACACAGTCAGAGATCAGACCAGTACAGTATGGATTATAATTGGTTGCTGTCGGTTACTGTACCTAAAATAATGTTTTTCAATTATTTGTAGATAAAAAATATTACGAAAATGTACATACTGTGAATGATATGCATTGGCATTGTTAAACAACCTTGTTTTTAAGTGTGTAATAATGTTTAATTATACAGTATGTGTTCATGGGAGCAATTATATATGCAGTCTCTGTTTTCTCCTCCATTTAAGCCAATAGAGATGCTGTGGACATGCATGGCTCGTGCTGAGCAGATTTTCACTGGGCAAAACTGCTTGCGGCATCTTTAAAAAAAAAAAAGATCCAGCTTTCCCACCGGCTTTCCGTGTAGCTGGGTTTGGGATCTGGCGCAAATGATACCATAGAAGACTCACCCAAGTTCTTAAGGAAGTCCTTAACAACAGCTACTTCTTTTGTGACGCCCCCACACAAACCAGCACAGTGGCTAGAGGCAACAAGCCATGTCATATATTCGTTCTATCTCTTCACTACCAGACATTCTTGCCAAGCTGATGAAAATTGAATCTTTGCTTTTGCAGGAGGACCCTCCAGCCCACATAGTTTCCCAACTGTACTCTTTACTTCTCAAAGCATCTTCCTCTGATCTCCCACCATATATGCAGGTCTGGGAAGCAGAGTTCCACCATACTATTTCTCTTGGACTGGCAAAAGTGCTTTATCTTGACCCACAAACTCTCCGTAGCCACCAAGAACCAAGAAAAAAGGTTTAAATTAGTAACCTGTTGGTACAGATGCCTGTTGGTTCACCATCACTTCAGTCCATCAATAAATGACACTTGCTGCTGTTGCCGTGCCTCCAAAGGCACCATGCTACATAACTCATGGGACTGCCCCTCCATAAGATTTTGGCAACAAATTTTAATTTGTACTGTAAACTGATGGCGACCTCTATCAAACCTTCCTCTGAAGTAGCCCTCCTGTCCATGCTCCCTGGACCCTTCAAATCCACGAAAAGAGATGTCCTGTGGCACTTCCTGGCCGCTACAAGGGTGGTTATCCACTGCCACTGGAAATCAACCACCATGCCTTCCCTTGGGGAATGAGCCAACAAAGTGGACTCTATAAGAGACCTAGAACAACAGTTGGCATAGGAAGCAGGAAAGAGGATCAATGTTCTTTCACCTGGACCGCATGGTTCATGTTCCACTACTCATTTGAGTTTTTATCATGGACTGAGCAATTCGGAATTCATACTCAGCTGTGACGAGTGTATGCCCTCCCTGGTATTATTATGCTTGCCTTATCCTTTCCAGCCCTTATACCTTCTATCTAATCTTTGCAATTCCTTAGGTGATCCCCTTCTATTCATTATGCAAAAGCATCACGGATGTACGTATACCTTGATTGTGGGATCCCTTGAGCATACATTTTCTTCATGAGTATTTGAATATTAGTCTACTTTACAAAGCCTTGCCTCTCCTACGTAGCCAAGGCTAATGCCAAAGATGGTGCTATGCACCCTTTCTTTTTTTTCATGTTTTTGAATTTCTATTGTAATTTGAATCTGCATGATTGAATTGTTACACTGGAAATCTTTTAGTACCTTCCAATCTCCATATTTGCTATCTGTATGTACCTATGTAAATGCTGATGCTTCTCTGCATCTGCGTTTACCCAACTATACATGTAGAATGTATTTTATGGAACATGGAAGTGTCACGTTCGGGAAGTGACATGCGTAGAAGCTTAAGCATTTACACAGGGGTGTGCATCCAATCACTTCTATGGCATCTAATACTATATACTAGTCATATACAATATACTGATCATATACAATATACAGGCGTACCTCGGTTTACGTATTTAATTCGTTCTGCGGGACTTTTAGGAATAGGAATGCACCGAAGACCAATTAATCCATCCTGGAGGTCAGAAAAAAGTTAAAAAAAGTTTTTTATCTGTACAAAACTTTTTATAAAGTGCACTTTAAAAGGCATAAATACTGTACAGGGACAGGATTTAAAAATTATTTTGTAAACGCAATGAAAACCAATTAATCCGTTCCGGAGGTCAGAAAAAAGTCCAAAAAAGGTCTTATCTGTTGAAAACTTTTTATAAAGTGCGCTTTAAAGGCATAGTACTGTACAGGGACATGATTAAAAAAAATAATCATAAATGCATTGAAAACCAATTAATCCGTTCGTATTGCAAAAAAAAATCCGTAAACCGAGGCATTATGTTTAATGGATTTTCATTCGTAAACGGAGAATTACGATAACTGAGGCGTTCGTAAACTGAGCTAAGTAATGATCATATATTGTATACTGCTCATATATACTGGTTATATACTGTTATACAGCTCATATATACTGCTCATATACAATGTACTCATCATATACTGAGTACTGCTCATATACAATGTACTCATCATACACTGTATACTGCTCATATACAATATACTGATCATATATACTGCACTGACCATATATCCTGATCATATACCATATACTGCTCATATACAATATACTGCTCATACATTATTATTATACAGTATTTATATAGCGCTAAAAGGTTTGCTCAGCGCTGTACATTATAGTGGGGGACAGTACCTGAGACAATACAGTAACAAAATACGAGGGGTTCAAGGGCCCTGCTCTTTCGAGCTTACAATCTAGGAACACATACTGCACTGAGCATATACTGTATACTGATCATATACTGTGTACTGCTCATATATACTGCACTGAGCATATATACTGATCATATACAATATACTGATCATACAGTATATACTGATCATATACTGCCCATATATATTGATCATGTACAATATACTGACCTGATCACATACACTGATCCTCATCATATACACTCACTGGCCACTTTATTATGTACACCTGTTCAATTGCTTGGTAACACAAATTACTAATCAGCCAATCACATGGCAGCAACTCAATGCATTTAGGCATCTAGACATGACGAAGATGACTTGCTGAAGTTAAAATCAAGCATCAGAATGGGGAAGAAAGGGGATTTAAGTGATTTTGAACATGGCTTGGTTGTTGGTGCCAGATGGGCTGGTCTGAGTATTTAAAAAACTGCTGATCTATTGGGATTCTAACGCACAACCATTTCATCAGACCAGGCAACATTTTTCCAATCTTCTATTGTCCAATTTTGGTGAGCCTGTGCAAATTGTAGCCACTGTGTCATGTTCTTAGCTGATAGGAGTGGCACCCGGTGTGGTCTTCTGCTCCTGTAGTACATCTGCTTAAATGTTTGATGTGTTGTGCATTCGGCGATGGTATTCTACATACCTTGATTGTAACAAGTGGTTATTTGAATTGCCTTTCTATCATCTCAAGTCAATCTGCCTTTTCTCCTCTGAAATCAACAAGGCATTTTTCCTTGGATATTTTCTCTTTTTTGAACCATTCTCTGTAAACCCTGGAGATGGTTGTATATGAAAATCCCAGTAGATCAGCAGTTTTTGAAATACTCAGACCAGGCCATCTGGCACCAACAACCATGTCATGTTCAAAGTCACTTAAATTGTTATTATACAGGATTTATATAGTGCCAACAGTTTGCGCAGTGCTTTACAAAATGAATCCCCTTTCTTTCCCATTCTGATGCTCAGTTTTAACTTCATCAAGTCATCTTCACCACATCTAGATGCCTACATGCATTGAGTTTCTGCCATGTGATTGGCTGATTAATAATTTGTGTTACCAAGCAATTGAACAGGTGTACCTATTAAAGCAGCCGGAGAATGTATACATACAGATCATATCCAATATACATCCTCCTCCATCAGCTGCTCCTCTGATGAAATATGAGAATATCTCTGACAGATCTGGCCCAGTGACAGCCCCACCCCCCGATAGTGTAGATGAGTGTATGGTGGGATCTGTGTCCAGGGAGGAGATCTGCCTCCCCTCCCCCCCCCTCCGGAGATGGGATTAGAATGCTGCAATCACAGAGGATTAGATTGCCCAGAAATCAGCGGATTGCCCGGCTGCCATTGACTGTCTGAGTCGCTCTTCCTCCTACATCCCTCCGTGCAGGTCCCATAGGGAGCGCCGATCCCTCCTCCCTCCGCCCAGCTGTCAGTGAAGACATGGGGGAGATCCCGACCCTGGTGAAGATCGCGGTCTCCCTGAAGATCCAGCCCAATGACGGGCCGGTCTATTTCAAGGTGGACGGGCAGAGGTTCGGCCAGAACCGGACCATTAAATTGCTGACCGGGGCCAAATACAAGATCGAGGTCGTACTGAAGCCCGGAGCGCTGAAAGCAACGTGAGTAGCGGAGCCGTGTGTCTGCCATGGTGTGGATGCTGAGAGCAATCACTGCTGCAGCAGCCAATCCGCGGTCAGCTGTGACTGCTTTGTCTCCTGGAAATAGCTGAATGCCGCCATCTGATTGGTCGCTGCAGCTGGCATTGCCTAGAACCTCCATGGGGCTGTTTGAAGGGGGATGGCTGTCATAGAGCTAGAAGACTGACAATACATTGTATATCCTCCTCATCCAGGCCTAGGGCACAGGAGGAGATCTCTGCCATCTTATGCTGCAGACATGATGAAGCATCCATTGTATGAGGGCAGTGCAATGTCTCCTAAGGTGATGGTGTGCCTGCACTATGGGAGCCTTTCCAGTCCATACAATGGATCAGATGGATCCTTCACACAGGACAACCTACTGGGGGGGGGGACAAGACAATGATTCCAGGCTGAGCAGACAGCAGGGTGCACAGATGCTGCAGGATTTTCAGATTTGCAGTCATAGAATGGGAGCCATCATGGAGGATACTGTACATTCAGTGGAGGCTGATCATGTGACCGGGGGGTATAGCACACAATATTCCATTTTAGACGAGTATACGAGTGCCATACAATCATGCAACGTGTACTTCATCTTCATCCTTCTATCCACTTCCAAAGCACAACTCCAATCATGTCACCTGCCCGCCTTTTGGAATTTTTTGTTTAAAACCCCAAGGGCTGTTTCACATCAGAACGAAGTGCAGGGAAAGGTGCACCGCACTCAAAACGCACTGCTCTCGCGATCCCCTGCAGGTGCCAATACATTGTCAATGACACTCCAAATGAAGTGCGTTTGCAGGCACCAAATTGCATGGTACAGAATCGCACGGTACCAGATCGCATGGTACCGAATCGTATGGTTCCAAATCGCATGGTACCGAATCGTATGGTACCCCGCAGCACATTTTTTTTTAAATTAGTGCATGTACTGCTATTAGCCTTGGTTAACAGTACATTGTGGTGTGGGAAATGCACTATCCGTGAATGTTTCCTGCACCGCATTCAAACTGCACTGCCCTTATGATCTGCAGCAGGTGTCAGGACAATCTTAAAGTGGAACTTAACCAAAACGCACAAAACATGACACAATGGCAAGCTTTTGACGCCTCCTCCCCCCACCCAGTTATTTGGGGGACACAGGTCCCAAAAGGCTTGTGGAACCAGTCACACAGCACAGCGCGGCTTGTGCATGCGCAATAGGAAACAAGCTGTGAAGCCAGTTTCCTTTACCCAAGATGTCAGCTCCTGCATCTGAAGCCGATTAAAGCATCAGCTCAGGTGAGGACACTGCTGGATCCCTGGACAAGTAAGTGTCCTTATATTAAAAGTCAGCAGCTACAGTGTTTGCAGCTGCTGACTTAATTTTTTTTTTTGGCGCGGGGGGGGGAGACTGGAGCTCCACTTCAACGACCCTCCACATGCAGTTTGTTTGCCTGCATCAGATTGCATGGTGTAAAATGACCATGCAATCCGGTTGCAGTGCATTCCCTAAATTGCTGCATGCATGGCTTTAGTGCAGATGCAGTGTGGTCCGCACTGAACTGCACGTGATTTGTACAGAAATGTGATGCCGTTCCTGTGCAATGCATATGGGGAGATTTAATAAATCTGGAGCACTCAGAATCTGGTGCAGCTGTGCATGGTAGCCAATCAGCTTCTCACTTCAGCTTGTTCAATTAAGCTTTGACCATAAAATCTGGAAGCTGATTGGCTAGCATGCACAGCTGTTTCAGACTTTGCACTCTCCAGTTTTAGTAAATATCCCCCATAGTGTGAACCGAAGCTTACTGCATGCCAGTGCGATTTGCAGCCCATTCAAATGAATGGGCTGCAAAATTGCACCACAGGTGAGTCAATCAAACAGGAATGCAGACTGTTTTCCTGTGCAATTTAGGTGTGAACTGGCCATAAGACCTTGTTGATACTTTCAATTGAGGAGCTGTAAAACCTCGCAGCCAAGCCATGTTTTTACTGCCCCACAACCATTCCCTACCCGAAGAGGCAGCACTTAGGGGTGTACACATGCCATGGCTGCAATGCTTTGCTTCACATCAGGAATTATACCCCCATCGCACTCAGTGCAGCTCTTCAGTATAAGGGGTAAAACAGGCAATAAAATGGACATGTGCTTTCTTGATCAGAGGGACCTTGCGGGCACTGCAGGATTTCAGTCCTTGTCAGTGTAGTGTGTTACCAATTGTTTTCTTGGTGACTGTGGTCCCCAAGCTGCCTGGATATCATTGACAGAATCCTCACGTGTAGTTCTGGGATGATTCCTCACTGTTCTCATGATCATTGACACTCTACGAGGTGAGATCTTGCATGGTGCAGACCTAGGGAGACTGACAGTTTTTGTGTTTCTTCCATTTGCGAATGATTGCACCAACTGTTGTCACCTTCTCACCAAGCTGCTTGGCGATAGTTTGGTAGCCCAGTCCAGCCTTGTGTAGGTCTACAATCTTGTCCCTGACATCCTTGGACAGCTCTTTGGTCTTTGCCATGGTGGAGAGTTTGGAATCTGATTGTTTGATTGCTCCTGTGGACAGGTGTCTTTTATACAGGTAACAAAATGAGATTAGCAGCACTCCCTTTAAGAGACTGCTTCTAATCTCAGCTTGTTACCTGTATGAAAGATACCTGGTAGCCAGAAATCCTGCTGAATGATAGGGGATCAAATACTTATTTCCCTCATGAACATGCAAATCAGTGCATAATTTGTTAGACATGCATTTCTTTTGAAAGTGTTACTATTCTGTCTCTCAGTATTACAATACACCGAACATTTGATTTTTAGACTGATCATTTCTTTGTGAGTGGGCAAATATTCAAAATCAGCAAGTGATCAAATACTTATTTCCTTCACTGTATTCTGGCCATTTAAATGAATTAACACCCAAGTGCTTGACACTACTAAACGTGGTACACGTGTGTACCGGTGTCCAGCGTTTTTCCGCTGCCAGCAAGAAAGGTGTGTAGAGCGTGTCCAGTGTGCACGAACCCTTACTTTACGCTTGCGGCAGACTTTACTACCCCTCTGAAAAGCAGCCTGAGATGGATCACTTTTCAGAGGTCTTTGACATATCCCCTCCTCACTGCCTGTTTTATCCCTGTCAATGCAGAGTCACCACTCCACAACTGCATGCATTATATGTGGTTTCAGGCTGGTTGCAGCATGGTTCCATTCACATAAATTGATCGAGTTCTGATGACAAAATGCGACAAGAGGTTGGGAAGCAAGGCACCACTTCTGCAGCATGTGCACAACGCCATCCAGCAGTGGTAAAACCACTTAATTTTACCACCCACCGACTGCAAGTATAAATGAGCCCTAATGCAGAACTCCAATACTGTCACCTTCCCTTTCCTCTCTCCAATTCGACATCTGTGCATGTGCATAGCCTTGAACATAGAGAGTGTGCATTCAGGGACAAGCAGCCGCATGGGTGTCAGTTTGAGAGCAGCAACTGTGTATGTGCAACTGCTGCATCCCAATAGGCATGAATGGGACTGCCTGCACAGGAGTGCATAGAACACCTGTGTGTCCCTGTGCAGGTGAACACAGCCCTCCCACAGGTGAACGCTGTAGTATGCCTATTTTTAAACGTGTCCTTAGATTTCTTTGTTGCAGAACAAACTGCACTCCTGATCCACAGAAGTATAACCAAAAGAGATTTGGCTGTACTTCTTTAATTTCAGGGAATGTCTGCTTTTCAAAAGAAAGCAACTCTTAGAATGTAAGTAATGCGATACAAAACATGCCTTTTACTGTGTGTTAATGTAAGGTAAGAAACGCAGTGCAGTGTTCATTTTGACATACCCAGGCATGCTGATACACTTAGGCAGGGCAACACAACACGCTTGTATGAACTATTTGTGTGTTCTAAATTGTTGGTTGAAATTCTGCAATTCTTTGAATTAGGAACCAATACAAAATGAATGGGCTGCCTTAAAGAATATGTAAACCTAACACTGATAAGTGCCTGATGTACCATGTACTTGTATAAAAAAGTATCCCATTCTCTTCGTATTGCTTCCTTTGTGTGAAATCCCTGGTGTTTCTGCCAGTCCCTCTGTTTTCCTATTAAAAACTGACTACACTAGGCATGGTAACACAGCGTGGTCCGTTCTCCATCTGTGCTGGGAGCTTAGCCTGATCTCCTCCAATGATCAGACTTCTGCTCGCACGTACCCCCTGCACAGCCATTCACTGTGAAGTTCAGCGTTCTGCTGTTTCTCCTTTCCCAGCTCTCTGTTCTTCACTCATAAGGAGCTTAGAGGGTATGTGATCATGGAAAAAAGTCATTTATATCTGTACACAAATGCTTTGCCGGCCATTTCTATTCTAAACTGAATGGGTTGTTTTCTAGGTGAGGGTTTACATATACTTTAACAGTAAATACTGCATGTTAACACATGTGCAACAATGCACTGACACGTGTTGCAACAATGTGCATGGGCCCGAAAGCATAAAATGAATTTGTGCATCTTATATTGTCATGCAAACTGCGTGCATATACACCTTGCACATTTTCTGGGTCATTGGTGCTGTATTACGGTGGGTTTTAAAAGCGGAACTTCACCCAAAAGGAGAAATTCCATTTTTTTTGCATCCCCTCCCCACTGCCACATATGGCACTTTTTGGGGGGAGTGGGTACCCACTGTCACTTGCAGTCAGATGCGCCGTGGCAATCGGAGCTAGAAGTTTGCCCCTCTCCTTCCCCCACAGCCTTCTGAGACACATCACAGCTCCCCGAAGACTGCGGGACCATTCACAGAGTGCACTTCAGCTTGCACATGCGTGGTAAAAAACCTGCTGTGAAGCCATGAGGCTTCATGGCCAGTTCCCTTACACAAGATTCCAGCACCTGTACCCAAAGCCAATTGAAGAAACCGCTCGGGTGAGGACATTGCTGGGTCCCTGGGCAGGTGAGTGTCCTTCTATTAAAAGTCAGCAGCTACAGTATTTGTAGCTGCT